TTTTTTTTTTTTTTGTTGTTGTGTATTTCTAATACCAAGATGTGTCGTTTATATAGGTAGAAAAATCACATAACTGCCTCCACCATGATCCAGTATTTATTGGTAATTTTATGACTAATGGTTAATAGGTTGTTAATACTAGACAGTTAAAAACTGTCATATTTTACTGGCTAGTTGACCCATTAAATAATTTCGAAAATGATTAAAAAATAATAATGCGTAAGGTGTGACTCAAACCCCTACCTAACCTCTCATACAAATTCCACACTTTCATCAATTGGACACTTAATCCAAATTAATTATTTCTTTCACATATTATATTTAAAGTATAAATATCTAACAGACCTTTCATCGTGGTCGATCAATCTCCAATAACTGAAAGCATCAAAATCTCAACTAAATTGTCATTAGTCCTGGCAAGATGTGCCTCATTCAAATTTCTGAGCACTAACCCAAGTTGGGAAATGAAATTTGGCTTCGAAACTTATAGAGAAGTTAGCACACGATCATTTAACATATACTTATCGGTTTCCTTTGTTTTGATTGTGATTATAACGAAGGATTAAAGACTAATTGCTCTTTTTTAAAGATTGAGGACCAACTTTTTATTCGAGCAATAATAAAATTGATGATTATGGTATAACTTTTTCAATAAGACAATACAAAAGAAAAACTGCACAATTATCATCAATTTATGACCCAAGGAACAAGATCTCCAAACTTCAAAAATGAAGAATTTTACTCCTGAACTTCTTCGATATTGCAATGGTTCACATTTTATGACAATAACATATTTAGAATGAAGGAAAAAATATGAACAAAAAAAATTTATTAATCGTCTTGTAATCAATTCACATAGACTAGTAGACAACATATGTAGAAGTCGAAACATGAGATAGATATGCAGAGCTGGTTTTTTCTACAGATAAAAAAGGGGATCTAATTGACATGTAAAGCAAGATATCAGAGTGTTTGTGTTTTTGGTAGGCTCCTAGTCAGTATTCCATTCCTTTCTAGCAGATGACTTTAGCTGGGTTCTATCTATTGACATCCATAAAAGCTTCTCTGTGACCATTGGGTTCATTTATAATAGGAAAATATGCAGTAGAGGTCACAAACCTTTCAAAAAAGTGCAGCTCAGTCCCAGACCTTTACATCGTAGCAGATTTTCTCGAACATTTCAAAAATGTGCTATGAAAGCATCTTTGTGCGGTCTGTCCAACAATCAGTTAGTTGACCAAAAACACAAGAGCTTGACCAATTTTTGAAAGGGCAATGGTGACTTCTTCACATTTTCTCACCTAAAACTGTTCAGATGTCCCTCTATCGTTTTTTTTTTTTTAAAGGTTTGGAACATATCTGCTAGCTGCACTCTTTTGAAAGGTTTGAAACCTTCACTACAAATTTTCCTTTACAATGTTTTTTTTTTATTTTTTTTGACAAGAGTACCATGTATCTATGTTCATTTTTTTTTTCCGGTAATTTAGTATAAAATGTAGATATACTTATTTTAGTTATTGTGGTCGTCACATTAATTCTAAGTAGTTAAATTGATTCGATGAGAACTCGAGAAGGATAAATTGAATAAGATAGAAGAATTCGATTGAGCACTACATTAGATTTGCGAATCTTGATTTAAGAATTAAATGTAACCAATAGCTGAAATTGTGAGTCATAATATCTCTTCCATATTTGAAATCCTAATTCAATTTTTGTGGGCAATTTGATACTTTCGATTAATTAGAAATCGATAGATAAACAATCACCAAAATCATACATGTTTTCATTCGTCAAATAGGAGTTGAAATATTAAACTAAGAATAAAGTATAGTCCTCGTGTCAACGATAATTCATACTCGAAAGTCCATTATATTACTTGTTACGTGTCAAACAGAGCAAGTGATGTGGCACGTTTGTGTACAATTTGTTGGCCAAGTAAGCAAATTTTTGATGAGGTGGACAACTTCTACAAAGTTCAATAACCTGAATGCATACGTGAACATGCGTACATCAGTTGGCATATGTGAATGCATATGTGAATGAACAACTATGCAGACCCCAAAACAACTAACAAACTCCTATCAAAAAATTAATAACAAAATGAATGAACTTTGCCAAAGGTTTCCTCAAATGGTCACTGAACTTTTCCAAAGTTTCCCACGGAGTCACTAAATTTTGTCAAAGGTTTCCTAGGTAGTCACTCAACTTTGTAGAAGTTGTCCACCTCATCAACAATTTTATTCTTACTTGGCCAACAAATTGTACCCAAACGTGTCACATCATTTGCTCTGTTTGACACGTCTTCAAAATCGATTGGTTTTGCAAACTGAGTTAGGTCAGCGATGGATGAGGTCCTGATTTGCAAAGTTCAGGGACTATCTAGGGAAATTTTGAAATTCAATAACCCGATGGGAACCTTTGGCAAAGTTCAGCGACCATTTAGGGAATTGACCCTCGAAATGGTGACCACACTTCACTATTTTCTTGGGATGTAAAGAATTTTAAATTGGGATCAATCCAAGAAAATGTTAAGATAAATAATTTAGCCAGAATCGACTTCATCTTTTACTACAGATTCAAACACAATTCACATAGCAAAGAAATAGGCACACATAAACCACCTCTGCTCATCAGTTTATATTATAATGAGATGCTATAAGGGATGTCTTTCCTGCACACACCTACAGAATTCAAGAAATTTATACAATCTTAATTTACAAGCCGTGGTGATCGAGTTTACTCTACTGCTTTAGAACTACGTCAACTCGTTGTAGGTCGAGTACACATAATCCAACTTCATGCAATCTAATCATCGGCAATCCATGCAAGATCAATGTTCGACATCCAGTGACATGCCTCGCCTTCTCCAGGGGAGAAGTTCAGTATCTTAAAAGCTACATGATTCTCAGGCCATGCCGAGGTATCCATGTGACATATCCCGATAACAGTTTTGACTGGGAGTTGACTTTCAGCTTCAACCAAGTTTACCGCATAGATTTGAGACGAAGAGACTGAGTGGCAGAAGTAGACTGCAAAGGGAAGATAAACTTCGTGGCAGGCAACTATTTTCTGCCTATCAAATTTCTCTACCTTTTTTATCAGGAAATCACCTCTTTTTGCGCTTTGTGAAGCCAGCGCAAGTAACTTGTTTTTGCCTAAGGCCAACTTTGAGAAACTAATCATTTCTTCAAGGGATTTGGGGCAATTCTTGATTTCTTCATTTATAGGTTTTGCATTACAATAAGAAAGAGTAGTTTCGATGGAATTTTTCGACAGTTTAAAGGACTTGGGAAATATTTTTCTGATGTTTCTTCTGCTGATAGAAATTTTTGATGCTATTTCTTGAGGGAGAAATGCTCGATTCGGAATATTTTCTACTAAATCTGGGAGATGGAATTTATTTCCTTCTCTAAGGATAGAGAGCCTGAAGTAGGAAAATTTGTCCACATTTTTGGATTGAATAGTTGTTGCACCATTGTACTTCAATATCGCCGCTCTCTTGAAATCATCGAATTTAGATGAACAAGAGAGTTTTGCAACTGAGCAAAAACTGGGATTTTCTGTGAATTTGTTTTTGGATATCATATTAGTGTAATAATCCTGATCTTTTTTTGTTAATGGGGATAGCTTTTTGAAAACAGATTCTGGCATTTGGTTGTGCACATTTTCCGACCAGAACTTGATCTGGTGGGAAGCAATGGATGACGAAGAGACTTGTTTTAACGCAAAAGAAGTGAAATTCAGATAGAAGGACAAGTGAAATAAGAGGAGAAAAGTGAGAGAACATGTAGTAGCCATTCTTATTTCTAGAGAGCGAGAGAATTTGCATAAAATCCTCGATATAAGTTTGCCAGAAGGATAGCTTCGAGGCCATATTTATAATCAAAACTTGGCAAGTAAAATTGAAGAAAAATTAAATATGGTGGCCCTGGGGGGATTTTTTTGGTAATTATACCACTTACAATGATTTACAGCAAGACTTAAATTGTAAATTCAAGATTTTAGAATTGTATCTAATTATCAGATGGACCAAAATTCAATCTAAATACAGAGAATTCAAAAATGCTCAAATTCTTCAAATTTGGACTATCCAACCCACAAGGTTATTATATACTTAAGCAAAAAAGATGTTAGAATTTGTGTGTGACCCGAATTCCTTATTTGAAGTAATTGAAGAATTCTAACTGAAGTGCACGTCAAGGAGAATTCGATTTGGCGCCGCCTATGCTGTTCGGGTTTTCGGCGTTTGCTTCTCTTACTTTGTTTTGGACTCAGTTTTTGACATTTTACTTCATCAACAACTCTACCAAGAGTGTTTGGACGTCCTCTACATGTTCCCTATAAATATTAAGCTATTCTATACAATTTTATGCGTGTGAGAAAATAGATTATTAGAATTATAGGATCAATTATAATTTTCTCTCTTCTCCATTATTCTTGAATCAATAAAATCTCTTAATTCTTCTACCATATTCTTGTCTTTATTATTCTTTTGCTTGATCATATACTTCATTATTATTTACCATGTAACTTCAACATCTCAATCCGATGATTTGTTTCACAACAAAAGAAAAAAGAAAAATGTAGCACCCTAGTATTTGGACATTCCAAATTCATCGAAAAAATCAGTATAACTAGGTCCGGACGAAAGGAACACATCATAACTCCAAATTTTTTGTCATGCCGATATTAAACATATGGGACCAACAACGAATGGTGATGAAGTGAGTACCATCTTACTCAAATAATGAAGTGAATCCTGTAGGAAGATAGACCATTGGCATCAGAATTGATTTGTGTGAAATTGATAGCCTTTAACCAATGATATTTATGCCTTATGACACCCTCCTTCTACCTCCATTGCTATGCGATCATGCCCTTATAGGAAAATTGCATTGTTGGTCCACATATTAAGTTGATCTACAACATTTTAAAGATCAAGTTGATCAACAAACAATCAGTCTCCAACTATGGAAATCGTCACAAAAATATGCCTCACTTCAATTCCAGGCACCAACTTTGGAATTTAATAAATATTTTGACGGATTCCTTCATTCGTTAACTGTGCAATTATAATGAGAAGTTGAGGATTCACTCGCTCTTTTAGAGGTAGTAGAGCAACTTCCTTTTCGCAATAAATTAGGGACTAATAATTTACTTTTCCAGTGAGAGGATACGAAAGGAAATATCGCACAATTAGTCCTCAATTTATGGCCTAAGGAACAAGTTCTCCAAACTTCAGAAATGAAGAATTTTAATCCTGAACTTTTTCAATAATTGCAGTAAGAAAGTACACAAATTGGCTTCACACCTGATTAGCTTTAGCTTCATTTACCTCAGCATGTTGTCTAATTGAGCAGCTTGCCTTTTCGGACTGGTTTTGCCTGATTTATGAGTTCATTAAACTTTTGACTCAATATATAAGGGCAGCTTTACAAAACAATCGTATACTCCGCTCTAAACACTTAGAAGCATCAGAAAACTTAGCAACAATTGCAGGAAAGAAATCAGAACATATAATTCACAAATCAAACTCAGCAGGTCAATTCCATATATTTGCCTCATTTAATCTCAACTCTGATTTGCCTCACATGTAATGTAAAGACTGCATCTTGTAAATTTCAAACAACTTCTACCCCTGGAGGATCGAATTTGAATTACATAGTAGTTGGAGGATCGATTTACGTGTTTCAAATAGTTGGATGATCAAATTAGATTTTGCCAATAGTTTGAGGATCTATTAAGTTGTCGCTCATAGTGGGAGGACCGAATTAGAATTTCCTAATAGTTGGAGAATCAATTCAGTTGTTAATCAAAGTTGGAGGATCGAAATTGTATATACTTGTAGTTGGAGGATCAAATTACTTGTTTCATATAGTTTGGATGATCATATTAGAATTTTCTAATAGTTGGAGGATCAATTGAGTTGCCGCTAATAGATGGAGGACCATATTAGACTATTATAGTAGTTGGAGGATCAAATTACATGTTTCAAGTAGACTGATAGTCAAATTAGAATTTACTAATAGATGAAGGATCAACTTAGGTATTTCATGTAGTTGGATGATTAAATTATAGTTTCCTCATAGTTGGAGGATCAAATACTAAAGTAGTTGAAGTTTCTGTTTAGATGTGCAGAATAGTTTGTCCCCCGGTATTTATTCTAGATTGATCCTCTGACTATTGTAAATATCTAAATTGGTCATCAAAGTATACGAAAATGGGCCCTATTTGAGCCACATTATTTTTTTCATTCTCATTCTTCTACTTATTTTCAACCACACATTTTTTAATAAAATAATATTTTTCATCACATCAATAGTTTTTCCTTCTTTTTCAACCACATATTCCATATCACATCAAACAAAAAAAATACATTCTTGGACTAAAAATGTGTACCAACCAAGGGCTGATTATTTATTTAAGAAAAAGCTATAATGATTTGAGTAGAACCCCCACTATAAAAAATCACNNNGGGCTTCACACAATCGATCAGATTAGATAGATATCACTACAACACAACATAGGTTATTAAAAGGATCTTGGAGACCCACCAAAGTACGAAAGCCAGAATCTTTCAGAAAACGAATTCCTATTAAAAGAGTGCATGAATGTATGGATAAGCTCACATTAACTCATCAATTTGGGATCCATTGGATCCGATATTTTCATTAGGAGGTATCAGGAAGGAATTGGAATGGAAAAGTTGCAATGTTCTCAACCTATCATGAACCTCCTGGAAACACAATAAACAACTAATTACCTAAATGGTGATCAAGCATACAAGTAATAAAGCATACAAAATCAATAAAGAGCACAAATTTACTAACTAAATGATCTTTGAATTGAAAATAATCAAATAAAAGGTTTCATATCCATCCCAACACAATAAAGATTTAACCTAGTATGTTTCTAATCATATTACACAAAGAAGTACGGAAATTCATCACTCGAATTATATAAATACAAGAAATAGATGTGGAATCAATCTCTTTCTTTGAATCTTCAATTCCAAGCGTTAAATCTTCAAGATCTTGGTGTTTCTTCCTTCAATGCCTTTGCTAGACTTGTTCTCACATAAAAAGTATGATAGATCGGCCTCCCTTGATTGCAAGTTCTTTTAGTATTTTATGATATGAGAGCCATCCTCTAATGTTGGCTAATGTTCTATACTTAAAGAGGCTAAAATTAGGTCAAGAATTGTCTAAAGTGGTTGTCATAAGGAGTTTCAATTAGGTTAAGAATCGTCTAAAGTGGTTGTCATGAGGAGTTTCAATTATAGAAGGAGCTGCAAGGGGCTACTACTTGCAACCGCAAAGAGTAAAATTTTACCCTTGTCCGATTTGGTTTCCAATTTTTCTCCGTTGTTCAGATCGAGCCACTTCTTTGTGTAGTTTACATCATTTGTCTTCTAATTTCACCCAATTGATTCCATGAAATCTTAAATCTTCATTCCTTGTTTGAGTCAACTTTTAGATATTTGTAATTTAGTCCTTAAACTTTGAAATTCTTCCTTTTTCATCGATTTTGGCTCTTTTCTTCCAAAATCACTTCCAATCATCAAATATTACCTAACAAATAATATATACAAGAGATTAAGTTATAATACCTCAAAAGTACTCCCAAATATTCATGTTTAATAGTCGAGATAAGTGCGTAAAACACACTTATTACCTTCGTTAGCTAACTGTGCAATTAAAATGAAAATTTGAGGATTCACCCGCTCTTCTAAAGGTTTGTCGACCAACTTCCTTTTCAAGCAGTAAATTGGGGACTAATAATAGAATTTTCCAATGAAACAGTACAAAAGGAAAAATTTCACGATTAGTCAATTTATGGCCTAAGGAACTAGTTCTCCAAACTTCAAAAATGAAGAACTTTAATCTTGAACTTGTTTAGGGCTTGTTTGAGCCCTATATATATTTTTTTAAAATGCATTTTGTTATAGTGTTATGATAGAAAATGTGTGGTTAAAAAATAAGAAAAAAAATTTGAGTTTGCGCATAATATTATTTTATTGAAGAATGTGTTATTGAAATGAGGTAAATTCACTGTTTAAAAATACATTTTGATGGAAAAAAATGGACTCAAACAAAGGCTTAATAATTGCAATAGGAAAGAAATGCAAATTGGCTTTCACACTCCATTTGTGCAGGATTATTAATAGCCTAGACTAAGAGTTTATGCTTTATGAGGGCCATCTTTTTTGTTCTATCCAAGGTATCCAGTCCATGCATGTTGCATAAGACAATTTATATGAAGAGACTATTCCAGTATGCTTCGGTTACAATGGTTCATCATATTTTATGATGACAACATATTTAGTATGATCGACAGAACGGCATTGGATTGAATAGTCGATGCACCATTGTTATTGTACACTTGTGAAATTGCCTTGAAATAGTCAAATTCAGAACATTAGAGTTTTGCAATTGAAGTAAATACTGGGATTTTCTAAGAATTCATTTTTGGATATTAGTTTGGTGTAATAATCCCGATCCTTTTTTGTTAATAGGGATAGCTTTTTGGAAACAGATTCTGGTCTTGCACAATTTTCGACCAGAACTTGATCTGGTTGGAAGCAATGGATGACAGAGAGATCGGTTAAATTAAGAGAAAATGACAAGTGAAATAAGAGAGCGAGAGAATTTGCATAAAATCCTCGATATAAGTTTCCCAGAAGGATAGCTTCGAGGCCATATTTATAATCAAAACTAGGCAAGTGAAATTGAAGATAAATGAGTTATTATGGCCATGGGCCGATTTTGTGGAAATTATACCACGTTAAATATTTGAAG